ATTTGTCTACCCCACATCTCTCTCTGTCGCTCCTTCCTCTTAATACCTGCTCGCGCTTTCCCGGTCGCCCACGTGGGACCCACGACTAGGGCCAGTCCTCCGGCTTCCCTCCGCCTTCGAATCTCACGTCCGCACCTGCTCAAACCACAATATGGCGAATGAAGAACAGAGAAGGGCCTTTGAGTCGTATATGGGCCGCACTGGCGGCAGTGGCAGTAACGGGCAAGGCCAAGATCAAGGCCAGCCAATTCCTCAGTACCCCGGCTCCTTCGCCCGGCCAGCCAATTCGTATCTTTACAATGTGTAAGTGCGCCATTGTCGCCTGAGACCAGAAGTTGGCTGACAGCAAGAATAGACGTAATCATGTTCGGCCCCATCCCATCGACGCCCGCGCGCAGTGCGTCAGCAAATATAGAACCTGGCTTACCCTCCATGTAGCAATTCCAAGGGCTCGGAGTCCCTCCCGCAGCACCCACACCTCCGCCAGCTGCCTCGTCCGTCGCTTCTTTTCCCGGATATCAGGGAGGCTATCCTCAACAAGCTGGATACCCTCAACAGGCAGGATACCCTCAGCAGCCTGCATACCCACAGCAGGGTGGATACGGCCAGGGCGTGTACAATCATCTTGGGATCCCACAGCGCCCACCACCGCTCCTAAGTCCTCAGTCACAACAACAGGATCAACAGCAGACGCCGTCAGTAGCCGGACCACAAGGGTACGCTCATATTCCACAGGGCTACGACGCACGACCACCGCCTCCACCAGGGTACAACGCCGACTGGCAGCATAGCAATCCAGGTTCTGGAATGGAACGTCGACGAGCCGCTCCTCTTACGAGCGCAATGGTACCATCGTCACGCAACACACAGCAGGAGATCATGGAGTCAAGAACGAGGCAGACAAGCGAGCAATACCACTACGAACAATACGGACAGTCACATGCCGCGCAAGCACCACCCCCGCAGGTAGAAGAAGTAGCTGTGCCAGTTATGCTCTGTCACACCTGCAGTCACTGCGGCGAGATGCGCTCCGCAGGTTTCCATCGCAACAACCCGGTCCTTCCTAACAAGCCCATGATCCCCACACCCTGTCGAAGGTGCAAAAAGAAGCTTGCAGGCGCACATCGCTCAAGCAGCAGATACAGGTACATTCGAAGATGTACGGCCGAGGAACCCTGCGACTGGCCTAGAGAGTGTGTCCATATCGACATCGACCATGACGAGCGTAGGGGCCGGAGACCAAATCGAGAGGAGATCTATGTCACGCGATACTCTCCCAGTCGTCCTCGTGTTGTTAGACGAGAGTCTAGTCAGGCGCGCCTGGGCCTGCGAGTACTTCAACAGCCGACACAAGAGTTTAGGTCGGAACAAAAGCTCAAGACTTCCTCATTGAGTCCTCGTCGCTCTTCCAGGTATGCTGGTGAAGTTTGGCCCCCGCCTGACATTATCCGCACTAGGGAAACACGGTCGGATGAAGTGTACCCTGCGCCACCTCCACCACTCCCCAGTCTTACCTCGAGATCTGACGAGGTGTGGCCTCCTCCAGACGTTGTCCGTACTCACTCCTACAGGAAGGTCGAGAGAAGTCCATCGCGCCGGGCAAGTTCAAGGATCATCGAACTCAGTCCGTCGCCCCCGCCACCGACAAGATCTTCGAGAGTTGTCTATCGGAGGGAGTCCCAGGAACGACGTACTAGGAGTTTAAGTAGATCTCCAGTTCGTGTTAACTTTCGTGCTGAAAGGCGAAACGAGGAAGTGGAAGCTCGTCTCATGTCGCATCCGAGGCCGCACCGCCCGATTGGACCAGAGCAGCGTAGCTTTCTCAAGGCGTCGGACGAAACTTCGAGCAATGCTGAGTCTGTGCCACGTCGCCGTTTGGATTCACCTAGTCGGAGCATCCTGAAGCCCCTAGGCACCGAGCACGAAACCTCTCACAGGCGAAGAGATACTATGCGCGAAAGTCAACAGAGCATGCACGTCGAAGTCGGAGGGCCTCGTGTTCACTTTCGTGGTGGAAGAAGACAAGAAGAGCCAGTACTGGAGTCAAGAGGAAGATCAAGGTATGCCGACGAACGACTGGCGAGTGGCGACAAGTACGAGCATTACCGAGAGTATTCCCGCCATCGGGTTGTAGACGATCCTCCACCGGAGCCACTAGCCCAGGACTTCGAGAGGATTCGCATACGACACTCATCACCGTCTCCACGAAGGGAGTACGAAGAAGAAATTCGCATTGATCGACAGCGCCGTATTTCACCTTCTCCTCCGCCCTCAAGACGCTTTGAGGAGGTACTCGTGCGGAACATCTCTCCTCTTCCCGCACGTCGCACACCCCGTCTTCCGCCCTCTCCTATGTCACCTGAACGACCACCGCGGCCACTATTTCGCCATGTCTCCCGCCCACGAGCACTCGAACGGACTCGTTCTATGACTCCACCGCCTAGTCGCCGAAGACAAGAAGATGATGATACCGATTCGGAGAGCGCACATTCAGCTGAGGTCAATGATATCAGAAGCTGGAAGGGTATCGATGAAAATGGACAACCTGCTACATTTGTGGAAGAGAGGAGGGCGGTGAGGATGATCGATCAGGGAAGTGATAGAGGTGGGCTTGCGAGAGAGTATCGTGAGATGGGTAGAGGCCCGAGACTGGACACGAGAGAGCGAGTGACTAGTCGGAATTGGAGGGATGTCTAGGCTGTTGGAGGTGATGAGTATGTAAAAGTCTGGCACTGGCGAGCTGTATGGTTGCTATGCTATGAGGCGGAGCATACTTGGAATGGTTTTGAACGATTACTGATGCATAGATACCTACGATACCTCTTTAGATTTCTTTCAATGTCATGTTTTCAGCGAAAGCAGACTTTGGATCAGGTGATGTCGGATTCGAGCGATTCTCTACTGACATGTTTCAAGAAAGATAAACGCACAGACCTTTGACGGTGCATATATAAGCTCACAGCGTGCCGCTTCCTTACTTTCATACCATCTTCCAGACCTGAAACATATTCAAAAAAGCAAAGCCGCTCAATATGGAGTTTCTCCTGGCTTTCAAAACTGCACTGCTGAAAATCCTATGCTGAGAAGGACGCTTTCTCTTCTCATTCCTTTACTACTTTCTAAAAAGACGAATCTCCAAAATAACTACTGCACAAGGCATATGTCTTTGGGTTCTCCGCCAGAGGTTTCTCCAAATTTTCAGATCAACATGCCATGTGCGCATTCCAAAAACGTCAACGACGCGGTTTTGGCCAGGGGCTGTTCGCCATTGCTCTCTTCCACAACTTCCTTGTTTTCGGTGTGAGAAAAGCGGGAAGAAAAGATTCGATGAAACTGAGTATTCACTTTCACGCACAAAAGAGGTAGATGCTATCGCAAATGGCGTGAGTAGTGCTGGGTCGGGTATAGAACCTCGACCTGGTACTGCTCTTCTCCTCGCATACACTCTGCTTTTCCCACCAAAAAACACATATCCCTGGCTCTATGTTCCAAAGAGTATCGAGAGCATGCGCGATGTGTTCTGCGTTGTTTGAACCAAACCCATGGGCAACAGCTTATGTGTGAGCAGGAACTCGAGACATGTTGAACGTATGTTTGAGTGTACGCTGCAACATTCAAATAAGAAGCTTTGATGTTCTGGTCGAAATATACGGGTTAGAAACACGTACTGGAGCTTTGCATGGAGAAGACCGAGGAGACTGAATGTTTGAATATGCTGTTGTCGGAGACATGGACATATGTGTTCATCTTCAAAAACACGAGGATGTCATTTGATGGTTTGAGAGTGCTCAGACAGTCACTAACTATGCGCCAACACTATGGTGTTCGCTGATATGTATTGATGCTGGATAGCTGGCCCGCAACATACTTGGCCATGACTTGTATAACAAAGCTGGTATAGCGCACTGACCGCTCACATATATAAAACCCCGTTTCTGCACCTCACAGTCTTCCTCTTATCAACCCAAGCTGCTCGGTCTCCAACTCAAAATACTGAGATGCTCTTTCATGTCTTCTTACCAAAAAAATCGAGGGCGTCGAATTATGTCCTGGCGCGAGCTGAGAACGGAATCCATCCAAGGGCAATTGACAATCAAAATGCACATTCTACAATGACATGTCCCGTTTCGACGATGCGAGAAGCACACAGACCTTGGGGTTCTGTCCTCTTTCTTTTTTTCATGTCTCGAGGGCTCCTTGCCCGCCTTCGATATATCAAAACTACACGAGACCAATGCCATGGCCGATCCTCCTGAGCTCTAGGACAAAATCAAATGAACGCATCGTCATGCACAAGGAGAGCCAGTACTTCCAAGAAACGAAAAAAGGGTGCAGGGTAGACATGTAGCGTTCGCACTTGACATAGACCACTGAAGGAGAGTGTCATGCTTCGTCTGCATCTGTCAAAGATCGCGCGCTCGAATTGCTGTCGATGACCGACACCGACGGCTATATAAAGCCTGTCACCTGTGCTTTGCGCTTCTGCACTCTCTACCACTTTTCCCCGGGAACTGATACTTCAAAAAAGACGACGGATCGCTGTATGAATTTTTTATCCCAAGACGACCAATAAAGGAGGCTTCTTTGCGAGCTGGGAATGGGTCTTGTTCACATATCTTTGCGGCAGCCTTGATACTTTGACGCTGGCGATACCGTACTGAGTCGAGTATCGGTCGCTACTCGAAATGATCCTGCAAGATGTAACATCACGGTGCATTTGTGTTTGGAACCAAAAGAAAGCACTTCGATGTCACATATCGAGCAATGGTAATCTTTTCAGACATCACTTGTTCAGTCAGCCATGGAAATGTATGCCATTTACATGGAACAAAGGAGCTAATCTGACATGGTGATGTCAATGTAAGAAGGTCATGCCATTGTTCGTTCTAGGGCTACGTACAAGCCCTGTGTGACTGACGAAGATGATGTTTAGCTCGCTTCATCGTGGCCGTAGCCTAGGCTCCGCAATCTTCATCATATGCTATCCTCGCTCCCTCGTCCTATGCTGACTCCAATACCTTGCTCTGCAACGAGCAGAGCTCTACAATCGTGCTCACACTGCCCACTTCTTGCCGGGCAGCCTGCAGACGCTCTTTCACCAGTTTTTCAGTAGCCGCCTCAGCTTCCCGTGCTGTCTTGCCCCATGCTGCGACTTCCTTCGAACCAGCGGGTAGAAGATGGCTTTCGCCGGAGAGTCGAAGAAGTGCTTCTTCAATGTCTTGGTCTGCGGATGCAATCTGACTCTGGAGGTATACAGATTGCTGGAGCAGAGAACGCTCGTTGTTTGCTATCTGGGTAAGATGCGGGAGGTAGGGCAAGAGTTTGGTAATCGGCCGGATAGGCTTCGTTGCTGCGGCTTTGCTGTCTTCGTTGGGTGTAGTTTGACCGCCGTTCTGATCGTCAGTCTGGACATCCAACGGTTGCTGGAGGCTTGCATGAGCTTCGAGCAGACTAGCACGAGCTTCAATGTACTTGTTGTACGATTCTCGTATCTGTGTTTCTGCTGACGCTAGATCGACGGGTGCCGCGACGCTGACTGGACGTTTGACGGGTGAGGCATCCTCAAGGAAAACACTGTCCTCTTCCATCTTGGCCAACTCTCCTTGCACCCAATCAACGAGCTCGTCTCTTGCTCGCTCGAGCGCATGAACTTGCGCTTGTAAGCTGGGCTCACCCGGCATCTCATCCTGGGCCTTCTTTCTCGCGACCTGGGCGCGCTCCATGGCTGTTCGCGCCTCGAGAACCTCCTGCTTCAGCTTGAAGACCCAGTTTTGATCATCTTCGGCTTGCGATAGTTGCTCTAACCTCTCGGCGGGTAAGTCTGGTTGCTCACCGATGGCGCTTTTGATGGAAGCTCTTGGGTCAGCCGCAGCGGTCGATGGCTTTGCGGTGAGGAGCTTGTCTAGAGACTCTTGGATGACCTGGAGTTCTGCATAGCACCGGCGCTGTCGTAATAAAGCAACATAGCCTCGCGTAACTTCGTTGTCGTATTCTGATTCTGGCTGCGTTGGGTTCTCGTCTACATAGCGGTTGCGTAAATCTTCTAATGACGTCTGGAGTTCACGGCGTCTTGTTTGCGCTTGGGAATTGGCCCGCAGAGCCTGTAGATATTCCAAACGAGTGTCCTTCAGGCCTGGAGGGTTGGTGTTGGCCGCAGATAGGTTCTGTGGGCACTCATGGTTCAGATGCTGATTCTGGGTCGCTGCATTGACGGGCCTCAGGCTTGAGGTGAGATACTTGGAAAGAGTGCGTCGAATCCTTAGCGTGTCTTCCCGATTGTTTATGTATGACGACAGTGCGCGGTCGACTTCGGGTATCGGACATGTTGTTTGGGCTGGCATGATCGGAAGTTGTCTGCACCCCGCAACAGAGAGGATAATTAAAACGAAAGCGAACCCGGAATTATGCGCGGATCCTTCAGGAAGGGACTAGTTCTGGTGATCGCATTAATTAGATGTCACGAGGGGTCGCTTTTGAACGCGTTCAGGGTACTGACAACGTCGAGATGTCAACGGGACGGCATTTCGATAGCTTCGGAGCTAGGCCAGAATGGATTTGGAGCTTTGGCTAGCGCAGATCACGAAAACACGTGCCCGCACGCTTGGCGATTGCACAAGCCCGAAGACAACACGTCGGGCGTGAGCACTCGTCTGCATCAGGAAGAGTTGAGACGGTGTCTCTCGCGGTACAACACCTGTCGATCTGAATTTATAGGGTGTCTCTGCTGGAAATACAGCCGACAGTCTGCCCCCTATTGGCAGCTCCTGCAAGCTCAGATATAGAGAAACCACGGCTTCTGTGCTGATGTCATATTCATTGAGCCTGCATTCCCACCAGGGTTCTGCCATGAACGCATGGCGTGCCATCGGAACGCGGGCGGAAGTGAAGGAGAGTTGACTTTGTTCTGTCGTTTCAAAGATACGCCGAAGTACCACCAGGAAGGGTTTGCAGGAAATTGCGCGCGACGGTCGCGCGGTTGTCTGGAAGCAAAAAGCAGAAAGACGATAAGACGTTGATTATTGACGTGAGCATAAGGGTAAGATGGTGTTCTCACGACACTGCCGTTGCATCAACACAAATTGGCTGCTCATCGCGTTACACCTTGTATATTGACATGTGACAAGCCAATTGCCTGCGATAATTGATCAGGAAGATGTGCTCTTGTATCCGAGCAGATACAGTTGGTGCCACTGCCAGCGGCTGTCAGATAGGATGCTCAGGCCTCGGGGGAGTTCAGCTGGTGCATGTGCTTCTTCTCAGCCGCCGCCATAGCATCACGAGTATTAGATTTACAGTGGAGTCAGGTTCATGCGTGCGAGACAACGGCCCTTGGGGTCGGGAGCTAGTCGGATCAGCAGCGGGCGCATTACGCAGGGTCCGTCCCACGAGGCGTCGTGAAGTGGTGCTGTGTGGTGTTGAGAGCTGGGATAAGGCTGGCGGTGATGAAGCAGCCCAGGCAGGGCGAGTGGGCGCGATATGAGGCGGTGTCAGCGGTGACACGGTGGGGATGCGCGGTGGATGACGCGACTTGGACAACACATCAACACCGCCCCGCCAATCGCGCACGAAAGCCAGGCGTTTGCCGCGTAGATTTTCGAGTACCGGGACTGGTGTGCTGGCGACTAAAGCAAAGATGCGAAACAGAAGCCACTGTCCCGTGCAGGAGCCACGGCTGCTTGGAGGGCTAGCTGCAAAGGGAGGGCTTGGCGGCGCAGGGATGGGCGATTGACGGGCGTCGATTGGAACTTATTTCGCCTGTACCCTAATGAGGCCTGCCGGACTGCAACTGCCTGCTCTTCTCCTTTCCCGCCAGCAGCCATCCGTCCCCTCGGCCGCCCGAGCCCAGGAACCTCTTTGCAGTGATTTTATACACCTACACTGCTAACACAGCAGCCATACGCAGAAAAAGCAATTGAATAGCATCCGTCCCTGCATCGCGCTACCACCGCGTCGCGCATCCACCCCCGAGCGCATCTGCGTCACTCGCCCTGGTGGTAGCGAAGACCCTCGGGACACAAGCCACGCACCCCGCCATACGCCAACATGCCTTTCTTCAAGAATGTCTTCCACTCCAAGGACAAGCAAAAGGGCGCCAAAGCTGCCCCCGAGCCCGTCGCACCGCCCAAGCCCCGCTGGGAGGAATCATGGACGCGCAAGGATGTCGCGCCCGACGAGATCCAGGAGCTCATCCACGTCTGCACCCAAGAGATGAAATCGAGGGGTACGTCGACCCGTCAATTGGCACCCCGCACGCACTGCTAACACGCGAAAGCCCTGGACATGCCCTTTATGCTCCTCCCCTTCCGCCCCACCTCCGACACGAGTGCCTCCCGCAACTTCGTCCGCAACTTCTTCAAAGCCGCCTACGAGGGCACACGGCAATACACAGGCGAGGGGCTGGCACAGGAACTGCGACTTACTGAGCCATTGGTAGGCTAACATACCCGTCTCACCACATCGATCCATGCGCTGACGTAGCCAGACGCTCTGCAGTATCATAAAATGGTGCTGGAGCAGACTGCCCGGCGGTGTAGTCACCTGGGACGCATACGAGCTCTTCCGAATCGGCGAGTCTGGTAAGGCGACCGCAAAGACATGCCCAATCACCACTGACGTTGTGTCCAGATTCAAACTTCGCGCGCCACGCGTTCGACACCTTCATACCAATCAGCGTCGACTCTGAGGCTCGCAAGCACATCATATTCGACTTCTTCGATCTCCTGTCTGCAGTCGCCGCCAGAGGCAAGAGCAACGGCATGGGTGGCAGGAAGCTCTCTCGTTTAGCCGGATGGTGGGCCTTTGAGTTCGTTGAAGACGGCAAGGGTTTCGACGGTGGTTATCGCACATGGGAGAAGTAAGCACTCTCGCTGGATTAGACGACCAACGCATACTAACTAAATTGTAGGGCCGCGGACGCTGCCAGCCATCTCTTCTTCGCTTACCTGCGATCGCTATCGCCAGATATGAACGTAGTCGGCGGCATCTCTGCTCTACCACGATCACTCCAGGCGCTACTCTCCCAGACCGAATACCCTCCGCAAACACCGACCCTTATGCAAACGCGAACAACCAAGGTGGTCATGATAGTGGATTCCGTTTCGCCTACACCATTCGCGTTGCTGCGTCGCGCAAAGAACTTTGAATACCGAGACGACGACAGAGCGCTACAACAGTTCTCCGAATACGACGACACCGTCAAGGCCCTGACGGATGAGTGCCGCAGAGTACTCGAGTGCATTGCTACGGCAAATCAATCGACTGTCTCGGCCGCCGACCCCACTACGCCAGACCCGTCATGGTCCCGCTTTGAAGACTTCGGGTTTTCGGGTATCATGGACAGCTCCGCCAGTACCAACGGTACCCCAGTGGGTGGCAACCCACGAGAGTTCTCTAGTCTCCGAAACGGGCCCCGCTCAAACAACACCGACTTTGGTCGCCCAACCACTCCTTCGTGGGCGGACTTCTTGTCCTCGGGTTTTGCTGACGAGAACAACCAATCTCCTCCAACTACCTTGTTGATGCCAAACCAGAAACTCCCACCACTAGGAGAGCACCGCGTACACAGCTCTCAGTCACACGTACGAAATGGCCTCAGCGAAGACGACCTCGAGCCCGGCGAGCTGGCAAGCATCACCAAATTCGATCTCGACGAGACTTTCTGGTGGGTATGGATGATCAGTCTGGCTTCTGAAGAGACTACTGATCGCAAGGCTGCGTTCGGAAGATGCACGTTGATCGAGACACGCATCCAGGGCGCAAAGTGGCTGGTCATGGAAGAGCAGGTCAAGGGTGCAGCTGCCCCTGAAGAGGGTGCGTACATTGTGGAGAAGAAGTCCAAATTCAGCTTCACGAGGCGCGGACGACTTGGTCGGCGGAAGTCGACAGGCAAGAAGCCAACTCCGAAAGAGCCATACAGCCGGACGACTACCAACACGCCCATGAGCAAGACTAGCATTGGCCCCGATCAGCACGCAAGAATACAGGCTGCAGCCGCGAAACTGGCTCAGAATGAGCGTGATGAGAAGGATGCAAAAGAATTTGCGACACGCCGAGGACGTACTGACGATACTACGTCCGTCAAAACAAACAGTGTGCTTACATTGCAGCCACATCTGGTGAACGAGGCTGGTCCGGCCATGCAGTGGGACAAGAAGTTTGGCGAAGCCGCCCTCGATAAAGATGCTCTCCGTGCCCAATACCTTGGCGATCACACTGCGGGCAGAGGTTCAAAGAACAACCTTACAGCAGCTGCCAATGGCCGCGCTTCCCCGCTGCCTCCAAGCGTGTCAAACCGGGACCTTCCAGCGCTACCAAAGTCTGAGCGAGGAGACTCGCCCGCTCGCATTGATACCACCACGCCTACCAAGGCCTCTGTGACACCAGTACCTTGGCCACATGAGTCACCTACCCAGACTCCACTTCCTCAGCAACAGACATTCCCCGTCGCAATGACGCGGGAACAGTCCACACCCATCGAGGAAACGCCCTTCGCGACACCACTGCCCATCGAGGATGAGAAGTCTGTTCAGACAGGCGCGACACCGAACCAGCACCCTGCCTTGAGGAAGTCAATCCCCGATCGCAAGCCAGTCGTAGCCCCTCAGCCCAAGACTCGCGTCAGTGAGGATCAGGGTGCCGCATCTGGAAAGAAGATCTCACCGAACAAGCTGAAGAAGAAGGAAGGTAGTGGATTCAGGAAGCTTTTCGGAAGAAAGAAGACCGAGACACCTGCAGCAGTACCTGCGCCTGCGCCTGCGCCTGCGGATGATTCGTACTTCCAAGCATCCGATGCCGTTCGCAGTACCTCTCGACTGGATGATCATCAGGCCAACGTACGAGAGCCATCGCCGACCTACACCGACAACCATCCGGAGCCCGTACAGGAGCCATCGCCAAACTACGAACCTAGTCCCGCGGCATCCTCGCCTGAGGTCGCAGAGCCGATCCAAGCAGGCGGCCCTGTTGCTGGAGCACCCGCAACGCAACAAGAAATTGACCAAGCCTTCTCTCGATTCGACCAAGGCCCTATGGATGACATGCCTGCGTTTGCCCCTGCTGACGATGAGAGCGAGGACGACGCCGCTGCCGCCCCGACAGTGCCTCGTCGCCAGGTACAACAGACGAACCCTAGGACCCCAACTCAACGCGCGCCGGAGTATGCGGATGATATTTCTGAGGAATCTATCGAGTTCACCAAGCAACAATCGCCGTCTCAAGACCGATGGGCCCAAATTAGAAAGAATGCAGCAGAGCGCGCCGCAAGGCTCAGCGAAGAACAGGTTCGACGTAGCCGAAGTGTGAGCCAGAGCCAGCGCACCGATGAAGGTGAAACCAGTGGCGA